GAAATGTACCTAAGAGTAGTTATAATTTCTTCATTATTATAAAAAATTAGGAGTAGATAAGAGAAAAACGTGGCCAGGAACTAAAAAACTTTGATACTTGTTACTTGTTGTAAGCGATATGGGTTGTGGAATGAGATTTGTTTTATTTATCAATGTATTTTTTCTATATCGCGTTGGAATTGTCTATTAACGAGAAAATAAGAAATCGCCCTAAAAAATTTAATTTTTAAGTAAAAATGAAAAAGCAGTTTGTTTCATGCGGAGTGTTACCAGATACTAAGAAAATGACTTCATATAGAGCTAGCCGTTGGCCAGTATCTATTTTGCTAAAGAATTTTAGAGTTCACTTACAAAGTCAAAATTTTATTGAAAGAAGGGAGATTCAACTCCCTCATATACCAAAAAAGAGGCTGCTGCATGAGGTGTGGTTGTGAGCAGGGTTCTGAGTAATAATTTTGTCGTCAAGCACAGAAGCATGGAAGCTACGACGGCTGCTCAAATTGAGTCATTCTTATATATGACAGGTGCGGCCGGAAAAGTGACAAGTGCGGCCGTAAAGTGACAGGTGTGGCCGGTAAATTAACAGGTGACAAGAAAAATCGTGTGGTCTGCCTCTGTCATGGAAACTAAAATTTCCTGACATTAGTCCGGTAGCTAAGCGACACAATTCACCTAAATCTTACACTTAGTGATTAGTATATACCACTTTGCACACAACTTCTAGACACCTTAAGACACAATTTTAAATATGGCGCCAACAAATCTCCCCGTGTGTATTCCTGTAATGCGGTGTTGCCTACCGACTAGACGATATTTCTGAAAAACCACTGTGAACGGTCTAAAAATCATAATCGCTCACTCCAAAAAGCCTTAAAATGTTTAAAACGTGCTCCTCTCATCGTAGCCTTTCTTTGCTTTATTTTATAACAGTTTATAAGGACCTTTTCTTTTTTTTTCTATAAAAAAATACATGTTGAACTCGACCATCATTGTAAAAGTATTCCTTGTATTATTAGTTAGTTTAGGTAACCGTGTATTTTAATGAACCAGATTTCGGGGTAAACTTTAGGGAAGGAAGAAACTCCCCCTCCCTATACACGGTGTACTGCTTGCGCGGCGACACAGGGTCGTTATACGAATTTGTATTTGCATATAAACAGTACGAGGTATGTTAAATTATTACTCATCAGTATTTTTCTTAATACGTCTGCATCTTCCCTCAACTCAATCCTCAAGTTTATCATTCAACGTTTTCTCTTAGTTCTCTCATTAATTTTCTGTTTTGGGTTACATTTTACGTTGTGCCTGCCTGGATATTACTTACGACCTACGCAGTACGTGGATGATATTGCATCTTTACTTGGATGTTATGGAAGCCCGCCACTTCCTTCTGGAGAGGTTGGCGGATTCGAGGGAAATCCAGGATCTTGTCTAAAAGTTTCGATATAATGAGCCTCACGTTGTTGTATCGCCGTTTAATGCCTCCCCTCTGCCTCGTAATTTTGGTCGGAGATACTGGATTAACCTGGTCGCCTCCCCTTCCACGTGGCTCTTCAGGTAGTTCATCCCTTCCGTAGTCGACAGCGTGCTGTTCGAGTGGATCAATTTGACAAACAAATCGTGGAATAACGCCCAATTCTCATATCCCGTTCTAAAAATGGGAATTTGTATTGTTGGTAATCTTACCTTTTTCGATCTGGCGTGTGATTCCACTTCTTCCACATCGATTAGTCCCATAGCGTTCTTGGAACTCCTCGTATTTCCAGTTCGTGAAATACTCGTAGAAGAATTTTCCTTCATATGCCTGGACCTCTATCTCCTCTTTACTTACATCGTCCTACTTTCTTTCGGCTCGACCAATCATCCTTATGGCTTTCTTCATATTTTGGGGTGGCACCAATTCTTCTTCTATCTGCGTATCAAATTGGCTGTTCGGCCTCTTTTTCATCGATCTCCTCCTCCACGCCTAAGTAGCTTTCCCAGCAGTCAAGGAGCTCGACATCCTGGTAGATTTGCTTCATGTAGTTACCCTGTTGGTATTGGTGGTCTTTAATATCTAACTCGCTTTTCTTGTGCGTCTGCTGGGCTTTCTTGGTATATACGTCCAGCTGCTCCCGTTTTAATGTGATATATCTTGTGATCTTCCTGTTTCTGGGGTCCTTTTTCATCTTTGTCGCCAGTTTCTTCATCTGTTGACCCACCTCCTACTGCTGTAACGCCAATGTATTCATGGTGTGAATTTTGGGCACCTTTTCCTGGATCCTGGATAGAACTTCTTAGTGTGCACTTTCTTACCCTTTTAAGTGTTTTTAACCGTGCGTGGAGTGGTTTTTCAGAAATTTCCTCTAGTGGGTATAGGCAACACCGCATGTCACGAGCCCACACGGGGAGACTTGATGGCGCCATATCTAAAATTGTGTGTTAAGGTGTCTAGAAGTTGTGCGCAAAGTGGTATATACTAATCATGTGCAAGGTTCTGACGCTTAGCTCCCCGACTGTAGGCATATAAATGAAGGTTTGGTGACGATTTTGGGTAACATTATTTACCAGGCCGATTTTTGTAACTGTGTGCCAAAGAGTATTGCCGTATTTTTAACCAATGCTGTTCCGAAAATGAAAATGATACAACCGCTTCATTTAAAAAGTCACATGTTTGCGCAAGCTGTTTTTTTTATTACGGAGTAAGAATTGAACCCCGTGGACCTCCACGTAACAATGTTTTATTTCACGAGTGTGGGAGAAGACATTCATTACCGAACAGCAATCTTCTAAGAAGGATCGCAGAACGTTCAAAACCCAAGAAGCAAACCCGATGTCAAAGCAAGTCATCCGAGAAACAGAATTTATGCAAAAACCAGAAATATTACGCCCTAACACTAGTGGTAGATCATTTCCCAAAATGTGATTCCTCTGGGAAAGACGGGATCAGAAGCTTGCATGGTGGGTAACGGTTATAAATTGACAATAACGGGGATTTATTAAAAAGAATTGATTAAATTATGCAACTAACAGCCTTTCTGTATAAGGCTAGTAACTACAATAATCCATAAATGGTACGAGAGTATCCGTTAGGTACTCTGCCACTAAGATTCAATTAAAAAAAGTAGTGCAATTGTATGTTAAATGACCACGTAAACTACAACACCCTTCACCCATTTACCATTGTACAATCTTAGCCAAAAAACAATGTCGTGCCAATCAATTATTATTCGTGCAGTGCAATTTGTCTGAATTATTAAGAGATGATATTGAAGTAGGTAGCTAACAATACAATTGTGATATAAGTAAGAAATGAAGGGAAAGTTCTCTCATGGTCAAGGTGTTTATAAAGACATTTTGCGAAGAGCGCCGGATTAATGAATTAAGGTCAAGGTAAGTCATTATTCGCTGCATAAAGTACATAGCATTATGGACGCCGCCGATTAAATCGTGTGCAGCGTGCATACGGTAACTTTCACTTAACTTTTTCTTCCGTTTACTTTGCTTTAACATAGAAAGTGTTTTGTTGATGCAGACATAATAATAGCATTAATTTAAAAGAATGTGATTACCGTTTTCTTTTCATCCATTTCGTCTTATTATAGAAGCATCAGAGCAAATTACGCTCAAACTGCTTTAACGTAAATGAAAATAACTTGGTGACATCTGTATAATTTTCCACGCAGAATGCGTGAAATAGAACAACGGAATATTACGCAAATTATCACGTGAAGAACTTAATCAAACTGATGCCTTTACCAAGAAAATCCCTCTGGAATACATGTGAGTGATTAATGCAGATCCAAAGATATGCAATGGGAATAAGTTTGGAATTCTGATTAGCAATATTGCCACAGTTGATATGCGGAAATGAATATGGTATTAAACATTTTTCTTCGACTTAGTCTGAAATATATGTGTAATAAGAAAATATCCCCAAATGCTTGAATAAAGGTTAATGAAATTAAATCAGGCTTTTGCGTGCAGCTAAATATGTTCGTTTAATGAATTTTGATTAAGTACCTAATCACGAATTTGAAGAGCCTCACATTTCACATACAATGTGGAATGCAGAATTTAGACTGCGAAATAAAGCAGGTTTACATTCACAGTAGAGTAGGAAGTTGTCTCTTTATTTACATATTGCCGAATGGAATTTATCGGAATTGAGTATTGACCATTGATTAATGAGATTAATAAATCCTATACTAAAAACTTATTAAGACACTACTTCTTATTGTAACGACAATAGTTATGTCGCTCTACATGAGTTGTTAAACGCAGAAATCACAAAGAAGTTCTGCAAGATTATTATAAAAAATCACGACCATATAAAATATTGCTGTGTGCCATGACGTTACTAAAAATTATAGTTTCGGAATTTACTTATTTGCTCCAGGAGTCATTTTTGTATAATTGTTTATTTTACTGCCGAATCTCAAATAATATCAGCATTAAGATTTTGAAGCTGCATGTCATGCAAATTGATAGTCTCAAGTAATAGCATCCAGAGAAACACCCCATAAAAACTTAGCAAAACAGACCCAGAGAATGATGTCGACAAAGCAATATTTATGATTGAAGTAGACACTATTTAAATCTGTGGTATTTATTTAAATATACTATATTTAAATATACTATTATTTTGTTCTGTGGATTAAAAAAGACTGTTAGTGCTCGGTTGCAAGTTTGCTTACCGTCGCTCTAAAGAAAAAAAGCTATTTATTTAATGCCCTCTCGACAATTTATAGATCTGCGTCCCTGAGGTACTAATAAGATCGCGGTCGGAGCTAGTTTTATCTAACATTCAGTACATTATTAGTATAACAGTAAATTTCAATTGTAACAAAAGCATTCTGTAAAAAATAGTTTTACCTAGAGGCGTTTTAACCCTTATTAATGTGCTTATAGTCAGTTTATAGCAAGGCGTTTGTTGTAGTAGGTATATACTATACATGAAAAGCGAATAAATAAATAAACATTATAATAAATAATAATAAATTTACGTACGAACAACCGCATTTCTTTCATTGTATATTTCCATATACATAATGTATTGCGATTAATAGATCATCTTGCAGAACTACTGCATAATTAGAAAGTTTTGGTGTAAGTTAAACTACAAAAGTTTTACAATATTGGTTTTGCGGTCATATCGATAGCGGTATACGGGTTTCATCAACAGGTATGACCTACTTTGAATAGGGAGTCCATTGGGATTAAAACTACGAGTTTGGTGCTTGCTATTAATTGATTCGAACATTTATTCGCCGTTGTTTTATCCTGGAAATAAAAAAAGAATAAAAAGTTAACTGTGTTATCTCACACACGGTCATCTGCATTTCAGAATTCATGACAACTTACCGCATACGTACCTATTACGTAAAGACAACACCTGTTGATTTCGGAGCTTATAAGCACCAAGAACACACAATGAAATGAGCATTTTTGACATTGAGATTTAAAAACAAACAGTCACTTAGAGCGTATACGCGAAGATTTATATGCCCTGAATGATTATGGTAATTAATTACCAAACTAATATATTTAATATTTCCTTCGTAATAAAATCCATACAATCAATTACTGAAGTGTTGACAACAATATTATGGTTTTTTTGCCTGCAGAAGCAACTGTAATAACTGGGTAACCTTCATCAACTTCATTTTTTAATCATTCTATAGAATAAATGTGTTCATCTTTATGCGGAAGTTCGCTTTCAAAAAATTTAACCCGGAACATTCGTCCTCCTCCACCCCTCCCAATCCTAAAAGATTATACACAGCGCGGAAGATTTTGCTCCAAAAGTCCAACGGTCAACTCTCTCAGCACATAGACTTGACCATCACATTCTTTCAGCATCACTTTTGCCGATTGTAGTTTTTTGTTTCGGAGTAGGTCAGGTCTTACGATCGTCTTCGCAAGAATGATGCACTAGTCGCAGTAGATGTTTCACTCGAAGTAGTCGTCGAAGTATTTCGGAAAAATGAAGCTCAACGGTGATTGCACATGCGCACATCACATGAATTTTTATTCGCGCCGATGAAAAAGAACTGCGAGAACGGAGTCGAAGTACTTCTCAAAATAGTCGAAGTACTCGAAGTACTTTGAAGAAGTACAGTTTACTCGAAGTAGTGGACGAAGTACTGGAAGTACTCGAAATAGTAGTCGAAGTACTCGCAGTAGTAGTCGAAGTACTCGAGGTACCTATCGAAGTGTCGTAGTAGTGGAAAAATCAAGCCCGACCGTGATCACGCATGATCACATGACTTTTTTGTCCCGGCCGGTGCAATAAAACTGCGAAAACGTAGTCGCAGTAGTAGAAATACTTCTCACACTAGTCGAAGTACTCGAAGTATACTTCGAAAACGTCGAAGTAGGTATATATTTTCATGAGATGGACCAGTCTTGGATCTTCGGACCACGGTGATTTTCCAGCGTATGAATCTTATCATGGACACTTCATTTTGAACACTCTGTATCGCACCTTTCGGCGTCTATTTTCGCTTCCATGGCTTGTTGACCTGCTTTTATTTTATCCATTAATTATTGTTGACCAGCTTCGAACTCGGCTTTAATTTCTTGCATTAATTGCATCAGTTGTTCCATTTTTCTGGTCACTACTGGCAAAACTTTCACTAATTGTTCGCTTAAAATTAACCCAACACTTGACACCAGTGTAACGTAAATTTAATTACGCGGTTTTGTTTATTTCGAACATATAACAATTAATTTATAACAGTCTTAAAATGAATTAATTTGTAACAGTAATGACTGTTTATCAGTTACAATTTATAACATAACACAAGTGCATCGAAGTTGGAACTAAACTTACACGCGATTCAATTTGGTTATATATGAAATGGAACGTTTCTAGAAAATCAACGGAAGGTCCGGAGACATAAGCATCAAATTTCACAAAAAGAATAAGAAATTTTCTGAAGAATTCAATTCTATCGCCGGTGACCTTTGATGACGCCTCCATTATGGCGGCGGTCCACCCGCTGTCTGTCTGGGATACTCGCTACAAATATTACCCCTTTGTTTTTATACAAGTAATCTCCTTCGAATTAGTTTTCTGTTTATGCCACTCGCAGGTCATATTTCACACAAAGGCGAGAGATTATTTTGTCAAACGAAAGTCGAAAATATAAATTAATTAACCAAATTTTAAATATACGGTCAATTTATATTTGTTGTATGTTTACGTATTCTGCATGATGGCGCTGTTTTGTTACACTACGTAAGTTTTTATTACTTTTTGTTATTAATTTTATGCTAATTTGGTCCAAGTACAAAAAAGGTTTAAACGTAAATGAAAAGAAGGAAAAGGGTAGATATAAGTTGTAAGGTAAGCAGGAAAATGCTAAAGAAGTTTTATAGTTAGTACATCGTTACTGTTGTTGACTTACACAAAAAAGAAAAAAAATTCACAGCGAAATTACTGTGTACCTTAACGTCACTGGCGTACTACGCAAAGCTTTGATATAATTAATATTTCTTCAAATGTAAACGTATTCACCTATGCCTATTACTTCTGTGTTATTCAATAAACACGTAAGAATCCGTAAGACAAATCTGAGATACATATTTCCAGAATTGGTATTTACTTTACGGTCACGCAGCTATAAATGATATTAGTAATTGATTTTACAGCAACCTAATCGAGCAAGAAAAAGTGCGATCTTTCATTTCGGTAAACACAATATGTCACAAATTTTGATCTAGCAGCAACAAAGATTAAAGTTCGAAGATAAAATTGTGTGTTAATAAATGTTAAATTAACTACATGCAATTGGATGCAAATTTTTTAGGTGTTTCTCGTTTTGAGAGGGAAAACACAAACAACGAGAACAATTATCCTTTAATTAGTCTTTGATAGACCTAAATAGCGTAGAATTAAAATGTCATTCCTAATATCATTCGTTTGATGCTTAAAGCGAGCCACTTTGTACAATTGTATGTTGGACAAAAGCAAACATTTTTAGAAGAGGAGCCATTCGCCACACTCTGGCAGGGGAGGGTGAGCTACCATTAAAGGTGCATTTTTTGAGTTTTTGGCATTTTACAGGAAAACTATACACTCTTTATCAAAAAAAACGCGAGTGTCTTTTTTGTAGAGCATAAAATTCTCTATCGTATATTAAGTTTTGCTCTATTGATCTTCTAACCGATAAAATAAAACCGCAAAGTTGATTAACATTTTTACATTTGACAAAAAACCCTTTGGGGATAATTTGATTTCACCAAAACAGTAAATATTTTACTCAAAAAAGATTCAGCCAAAATTAGGGTAGGTCACCCTCACCTACCAGAGGGGGGGGGGCGGATGGCTCCCCTTCTAAAAATGTTTGTTTTGGTCGAACATACAATTTTGCAAAGTGGCTTGCTTTAATTATCAAACGCCCTATAATCGCATTTTTCGACTTGTAGGTGTAGGTCTGTAAAGCGGTTGCAGAACCGCAATTTTGCGTCGGGAAATACTGAAAATCTTCCTGTTTTCCTTGAAAACGAGCACACTTCATATACTTTTATGTTAAATGTTAAAATGCGATTTGCAAGCGCGATTGTGATTTCGTATGCATTTTGTTAGTTTCACATCGTAGGTAATGGTAACAAACCTCTTCACTAATGGCTAACTACACCAATTTATTGTTAGAAATTTCTGAACTTCGAAGGATTTGAGTATCCGCATGAAAACTCGTACTCTCGTACCTCTCTAAGCTTTAACTAATAATTAAAGACCAATATGAACTTCTGAAAGTAAATATGACAAAGGAGGAAAGGGCGTATGTACAAGGCTTTTTGTTGACAAGTGTTTTTAGGGGAGACGCTGGTGAAATTATCGCAGTCTTGTTCATACCTGCATGTAATATATTGTTCTAGGTATATTCAAAATCAAATATTGACAGTAAGGATTTTACTTATACAACGTCATTGCTTGTTGATCTTACCTGATTTTCATAATCTGGAATACCGAAATTGCTGCTGTGTGCGCCCGCACGTTTACCAAATCTGCAAAAGAATACACGTTTAGAAGTCATATTTGCGACAAGTATATGGGAGAGGAAGAATCTCTCAGTGGATCAATAAAAATGGTTTCATTAGTTCTCCCGTTATTTCTATCTCCGAGGAAATCATCTGCAAGTAAGCAAACTATCGATAACTGGTTCCACTCTCCATTGAGAAATGCAAGATATTACTTCTACCATTGAATAATAATGTAATTCAATACAACGTAATTGTTTTGTTAGTTCTGCGCAAAAAAACGTGGAAAAAATGGTAACAAAAAATTGTTATTTTTTTAATTAAATTATATGCACATTCCACGGGCCGATTTACAAAATGGATTGACGTCAACAGATAATTTATGGGCATTTGGCTCTTGACTACTTTTTTAACACGATGACCAATTAAGTCTGTAGCGGGTTTTAAACAATTTGTAACTATGTAAAGTTATAGCTATTAATTAATGTCCCAGTATGTTGTAGCTGATTACCAAAATTTTTATGTGCATAAATTTCAGCATGTGCGTCAAAGTGAATCGTTCTCTAGAAACTCGGACAAATTCCTGAAATCTTGGAAAATGTTCTATTTAGTTGAAGCATCACCGAAACGGGCAAGAAGGAATTTTTTACACGATTTCGATCGTTTTTCGCCTGTCGAGGTTTTAGTTGCAGGTAATTCAAAATATTCGAGATTTGTCAACACTAAATCTTTTCTTGTGTAACACACTATGCCTAAAAAAAACAGAAAATGAGTAGTTTAATGTGTTGTCATACAAAAAAAGTGTTGCCAATTGCATGGGTTGCACGTAGACAGTGATCTACGCGTCCTGAAGGGAACATTCGAAATACCGTAGCGATTTGCGCTGTTTTATAATTTGTTTATCACTTCAAATTATTTCTAGAGGCGGAGTTCAACTTCAAAATGCACAGTTCTTGCAATTCATGCTGCATACGTATCGGAAGGTGTTGAAAACAAACACGCTCTTACATAATATAATGAACAAAATTTATTATGACGTTAAAGACTAAGAATGGATAAACTACAAATAACTAATACAAACAAGTTGTAAATCAGCATATGCATGATGAAAGCGCATTTTTGGTAATTCAGATCAGTATTTCATTAGCAAAGTTTAAAATTATCGAGCTCACGAGTAATCTAACTCAAAATAGACTAGGGCTTGCACATCTACACTATAACAGAAAGCTTTTAGTGAAAATTTAAAGTCACCTGCAATTGTGATTGTTATACTGGTAGCGCCATCTATCGGTGAAATTATAGCACCCGCGAAACCCATATCGAAATTATTTTCTTAAATTATAGATCTCACAAGTAATCTAACTCAAAATAGACTAGAACCTGCACATTTACACTACATCAAAAAGCTTTTAGTGAACATTTGAAGTCTCTAGCTATTGTAATTGCTGAGATCTCAGCCGGACAGCCAGCCAGC